GAAATCTGCACCTAATTTGCAATAGAATAAAAAGCAATTTTCTGGAGCTCCAAAAATATCGGGGATTTTTGTGAATTATTTTTCGAAAATATAGTCTGGAGACCGAAGAAGGGCCGGAGGGGAGCCGCATGGGCGCTAACGACCTAGCCACGCACCCCCTAACTGCGTGGTGGGCCAGTCTACTGGCCTTGAGGCTCCTCTCAATGTCCTTTAGCCATAAAATCTCATTTGCCCTAGCAAAATCACATAAAAGTAATCAGACCTTTTCGTCACCGCCTGCGAGGCGGAACCAATGCGGAGCACTTTTGTCCTCTATCATGACGGTTATGCTAGGGAAACTTCCCTCCGAGAGGGGAAATTGAATTCATCATCTTCACCAACACTCCGTTCATCATCGGGTTCATCATCTTCATCAACATCTTCACTAACACAATCTCCATCACCGACCCTAGTTGATCCCTCTATTCTATCTATGTACCATAACCTTAGATTGGTTGTTGAGAGTACTTTTATGTGTTGATTACATCTTATGGTTGATGCTTAGAAGATTTATCGGTGAAAGATTGTTATGTTCAGATTGTTTACCATCTATTCATACCCACTGATCATGATCTATATGATGTCTTGTGAGCGGATCTATTAGTCCTTAAGGACATGAGAGATGTCTTGTTGCTAGTAATCACGTGAGGTTCAGTAGCATTCAATGTTTTTGATGTTATGTTGTGATGTTTTTCCTCTAGTGGTGTTATATAATGTCGACTACGTAACACTTCACCATCTTTGGGACTAGCGGAATGCATTGTGGAATTAATTTGTAGATGATGGATTACGGGAGTGATAAAAATCCAAACCCCGATTTATGAATTGTTGCACAAGAAGCTGTTTTGGATCCCAAAGTTTAATGTTATGGTTAGATTTATCTTAATTCTTAATTACTCATCTTGTCTTTGCATGGAGGGTATAGTCATAAGTAGGCACTTGTTCAAGTAAAAACATTACCTTAGTATAGGTCTACCCACACAACATTTATCAAAACAATGAAAAGTAACTTATGGAACTTTGTGAAAGTAACTTACCAAACCTTGATATCGCACATGTACATCCATCAATAGGTTTTGTAGTAAGATTTTTTTAACTCCCAAGCTTGTTGGAAAAAGCATACTCTTTGGAGATGCGCACAACAAGGCATGCACACCACACAAGTATTTTGGTCTTATTAATACTAGCCGATAACATGTTTTATTATTTTTATCCTCTCATGAAATTTATGTTTTGCAACATTATTGCAGAGTATGGCATGGGCAGTGAAATGGCAACCAATGGCAATGTCTACAACTATGCATTGTTCTTTTGGAAATGCTAATGCAGAAATGACCTACTCATGAAGAATTCAATGATGGATTCATGCTTTGCAAGTGTGTAGAGGCATCTCTTTCACGAACCGAAGACATCCTTCACCTCAAACTTACTTCAGAAATATTATCTTCCTCACCTCAACCTTACTTCAGAAATATGACATCAACAGGTCGATCATATCCCAAACTTGCAAGAATGCAAGAAAATTTATGTTGAAGGATATATGTGCTCTTCGATTCTTTAAACTTGGCATTTTATACTCTGTAGAATCACCAAAAATACACACGTATGAAACTACTATGCTTGCTCTACTCTATCAATGCACACTCTTGTTGTTGCAGTTCTATTGCCATGTCTTGTATTTTGAACAACCAACATACAACTATTGCTCTCTTGGACTGTCTGTCTTCTCGCTGAAGTAAGAATCATGTCACACAAAGATGTTAACTAATACCCCAACTTGATTAATGCGCAAAATCCGGCCTCAAGAGGCGCCACAAGGTGGCACCCCAACCACTGGTATGATATTATGGCTTCAAAAGATTGCGTTGAAAGGAACTAACATCGATCTATGCTAATTGCTAAACAATTTCTTTTGTAGAGGATGACAAAAAATTTCGTAGATACAACTCTACTTGCACCCTATTCAAGGGTATTTTACATGTGAACAGTCTAACTATAACTCATATGTAGAAAAATAACAACAGAAGTATTCAAAGATCATTCATTTATTTATAAACTATGGTACCAACTAGATGACAGGAAAGTGAAAAAGGAATACTTCATTCGAATGTATAGGCAGCTCGTTGTGCTCGGGAGAGCTCATCTTGGTCTCTTGGATCAAGTAGCAACAAATAGTGGTCTTAGTGGACATAAGACAATAAAACAAAGGCGCACATGCCTGGAAACTTTTGCCAAAAACAACAAGATATATAACACTGAGAGATGCTAGACATACAGACTCAACGGAGGGGCACATTTCCCATCTTTGGCTGGGATTAGAGAGAGGCAGCCCCACCACCCGACCCGAAATTCAGGGAGAGGGAGATTAATTACTTTAACTATCCATGGAAGTCTGTTAGTTATCCGCGAGTGTAGTACTTCCTCCGTTTTTATTTACTCTACATATTTATAGAAAAAATATAAATATTTATACCATAACAGATCTATATGATGTGCAAGTACATTCAATAATAAATTTAATGATATTGATTTGTTATTGTATATGTTAATATTTTTATTTATAAACATGATCAAAGTTTACGAAGCTTGATTTTGACCACATTATTGTTTAACACACCGTCGATCAAGTACCATAATAAGGTTTAAATTTTCTCTGCACTTAATTAAGCTTTCATACTTGCTAGTGAATAAGACGGAAAAAACACATAGATGTCATACTCATATATAGTAATAAATTATCATATTTCCATTTAGTACATGGCATGGTCATTTAACGTAGTGATATTAGGCCAAACTATCATCGAGCGAGATAGTGTTGACTCAACTTGGGCTCGTTTCAGCTAGTACATAATTTGGACTTAGCTCATTTTTTATTCGAGTCGATCTTGAATTGATTCAGAAAACAAGTTGGTCTGGAGAGTGTGGAGATTTTCTTGCAGACCTAGAGCAGACAAGCCGCATCGTTGCCGAGAAATCCCATGCGGAGGGGCGACCCAAGGACATGCGGCCCATGCTCTGACCCCACGCTTCCTCGCGCGCCATTTCCTTTTGTCTTCCCCGCTCATTCGTTAGTTAACGGCCGGACACGTAATCAATCGCTTGTTTCTTAAGAACACGTAAGGCCAATTCCATCGCATAACTTCAAACGGACGTCTGTTTTATCCGGATCTGTCCGTTTGGATAGAGATTTGGGGTTGTATTCGGGCGTGTCCTGGGATGCGGTGGCCGTGCGCCCAGCGCGCGGACGCATTCCGGCCGCATCCTGTCTACGTATTATTTCTTTGCAAGTCCTTAACTTTATTTAATCATTCATTTTTGGTACATAAAAAATACATCATCACATTTTGACTAGTAAAGCAAGACCAAAAAAAAAGAACCACAAAAATACATTTTAGAAGATACCTAACTTCCATAACTGCTCCCTTGAGTTGGGTTAGGGCCTTCTCGATGCATTCGTTGTTGATCTGTGGAGGAGGAGGCTCGATCTGGCATCCTCCTTTCTTCTTCAAGCCAAAAGTCGATGTTGCTTCCTCCTCACATCTAGTCTCGTGTCTAGCCTCTAATCTAGCAACAAGTGCACTTGTCTCATTTACAGCCTCTATGTTAGCTAAAAGTGCACGAACGTGTACTAAATTTCGTTCTATCAATATATCGATGTACTCTTCTTCCGAATACCAAAACTTGCATCTATTCTACACAACAAAATTTGAAGTTAGCACAACTAGTCAAATCTAGAGCACAAACCGAAGCTAAAAAAAAGCGCATACCCCATCGTTTAAGCACTTGATGAACACCCATCCGGGATGTTCCTGCGTTGCAGACACGCGGCGCACGACCATCCTTGGACAGTGGTCGCACTTACTGAGTGACAACGGTTCGCCGGCAAGCTTTTGGGCAAGCACCGAGCCCGGTCGGCCGCCATTTGTGTATCTGCCGGCGGACCACCGACGGTGCAGATCCGAGCGGCTAGAGGAGGAGCCACAGACCCGAGCGGCTAGAGGAGGAGCCACTGCCTGCATGTGGCCTTGCGGCCCTGCCAGGGCCTTCCGGCGAGGTGCCCGACCAGTCCATGGCGCGACCCGGCCTCCCACAGCCAGCCGAGCTCAAGACCGACCGGATCCGCCCCAAAACCGCACGGCGGGTGCGCAAACCAGGTGGCCGTGGTTGGGTAGCTCGGCGGCGCCGAGGGGAAGGGGTTGAGCGAGCTCGTGTCCAAACTGTACGGCTGCAATGGCAGCGGCGGCGGCGGCGGCGAGGGGAAGAGTGGAAGGGGTGCGGTCGGAGGGAGGGAGGGGGGCGGATAGAAAAAGGCCTGCGTTGTGCCACCGACGGGCGGGCCAAGGGAGGACACGCGCAGACGACCCGCGCGTCCGCATGGTGTCCGTTTCACCCCAAAAACGGCGCAAACTTGGGCCGCGGATGGATCGAAAGCGGACACAAAAAGGACAAAAGTCCATTTACGGCCGCGCGCTGAGCCCTTTCATTTGTCTCTTATATTTTAAACGGACAAGGGCGGACAGGATAGGTCGGTGAAGTTAGCCTAATAATCAATCGCTTGTTAATGCCACACCACCGTCAGGTCAAGAAAACGAAGAAGAAAAAGATACTCCACCACATCACCGCTGCGCACGGCTAGTCGGCGAGAGAGCCGTCCGTCCGCTTTGGGATCCCAAAATTAGCAAATCGAGCTTCGGGAGGAGGAGCGACCACTTTCCCCCCTTCCCAATCCGCCTCGGCGCGGCAGCGATTTTCCACCGGTCGTGGCCAGGCCCTCCCCCCATTGACGCGCGGGCCCGGAAATCATCTCCCGACGACGACGGGCCATTCCTTTTTAAGCCCTGCTCTTTATTTTCCCCCGTCCCACCTCATTTTCCGTTCCCGTCCACTTCCCTCCCCTTCCCTTCCGCACACGAGAGGAGCGCGTTGGACAGACACGGAGAGCGAGCGCGAGAGGCTGTGACATGTCGGCGGTTAGCTGGAACATTCCGGCGATCCCGCGGGCGGTCCCGCCGGCGAGGTCCGGCCCGCCCGGGGAGGCCTTCCTGGTGGCCGCGCGCCCGCGGGTGGCCCGATCCCGTGCCGCACCCAGGAGAGTCAGGCTCGCCCGGGGCGGCGTCGTCGTCGCCCACGCCGGCGCGGCGGAGGTGCCCGTGGATGATTCCGGGGAGGCCGCGGTGGTCTTCTCCGAGAAGTTCCCCCTCCGCCGATGCCAAACTGTAACCTCTTCTATGCCCCGTCGTGTGGAACTGTGGATTGTGCCTCTCCTTTTTCTTCCTTTTATTATTCTGGCTGCTACATACAGTATTTGATTCTGTGGTGTGGTGTGTCCAGGTGGAAGGGAAGGCGTGGGTGAGAGTGGAGGCGGAGCCGGATGCGGACGGCAAGTGCAAGATCGTCATCGGGTGCGACGTAGAGGGGAAGTGGCTGCTGCACTGGGGTGTCTCCTACCACGGTGAGACCGGCAGGTATGCACGCCTTGTCACCTGTCAGCGAGGTAGGTTTCGCTCGCGATCCCGCTTCACTGCACCGGGTTCGACTTCGTCTCTTAGTGAATGCCTTGGGAAACCATGAACACGTTCATTCCAGAGTAGTACTCCCTCCATCCCAAAATATAAGAACGTTTTTGAAGCTAAAACAGTTTGAAAAACGTTCTTATATTATGGGACGGAGGGAGCACTAGTAAATAAATCAGGTGGGCAATGCGGTTGCTCCTAACTAAGCAGAGGAAATTCAGCACAAAACTTGGTACTACATTTTTGTTGTATAAAGGAATACTGGTATTGGAACTATCCAGCCTCTTTTCTTCTGGAATATCATCAATGCACATTCTAACTAATAATCACATGTTTGCACAACTGGGTGGAGATGTTCACATGTTCTCTTTTATTTGATTGCATGTCAATGTGTGTTATGTCTCCTAGTCTCCCATGTCATTGTCTTGATAGGCACTTCTGTCTTTGTTGCTTGAACAAATAATAATTTTTCAAGGCAGGTTTGTTTTCGATGTTCTGCTCTCTAAAAGAACTGAATTCATCTTATCCTCCTTATTTGCAGTGAATGGGATCAACCTCCTTCGGAAATTAGACCTCCCGGTTCGGTTCCAATCAAGGTTGTTCTAAACTTGTGAAAACTGTTCAAGCAGTTCAGACAGTTTTCAGCTATTGAAACTGGCATATGGGTGTCTGTGCGACACTAACTTCTAGGAACCGCTCCCTTATTTATCATTTAGATATAATTCTAGTAGTAACTATTTAGGATTCAGGGGGTGTTTGGTTTCAGGGACTTTTTTGTGTTGGGACTAGAAAAAATCCCTAGCAAACCAAACAGGGTGGGACTTTTTTGAGACTTTTTGCTAAAAATCCTTAGAAGCACCTCCTTGAGAGTCTTTTTCAAAAAGTCCTAGGGACTAGAAAAAGTCCTAGGACTAGAGAACCAAACACCACCTCAAATTACTGAACAATATTTGAAACTTTCAGGACTCTGCAATTGAAACACCATTGGAGACTTCACCCAATTCAGAAGGACATATACTTCATGAAGTGCAAATCAAATTTGATAAGGACACTCCAATTGCCGCTATCTATTTTGTCCTCAAGGTTCGAACTTTACACTCGTGTGTTTCTTAACTTACTGTATTATACTAGTAGAAGGCCCGTGCGTTGCCACGGGCTTTTAAATATTTTTACCGTGTGCATATATAAACATAATGCATATCAAGTTTTACGTGTAAACATAATTGAAATCCATATCACACAAAATATTCTTCGATACAAAATGTAATTCGATAATATATACATAGAAAGACACGCGATGCACAAAATAAAGAAAGTGGTACAGAAACATAGTACTCTTTATTGTGCACTATATTACACAAGGTAGATAGCACCCTACATGACTTTTATGCTTAAGACCAATCATCTCACGAAGCATTTCCATTGTTATTAACCATTAATTAAAGACAACAGATGGAGCATTTTGTTACCTTTAAACAAATATTCCAAGATGCTGCAACCAGAACCTTAATACATTATGGAATTTCCTAACAAATATTACATAGACCCAAATATACAGCACAACATCCAATAAAAAATCATTATAACACACCATCTAACTTAAAAGTCTGGCATATGAAAATTTAGACCTCCGATAGAAAACGCTGAATTTCAGCAGGAAATATCAAATACATGCTTCCCTGTCCGATGTATAAATATGTGTAATTCTCAATTGATGCACTTTTGAAATCTTCTAACTCACATAACACCATAATTACAGTGATTGTGCAACATATTTTTTAGAAAGCATGCATAAGCCTTTGAGTATAAACACAACTTTTGGTAGGGAGTCAATAACACCCCTAGGTAGCCAAGCCTTTGAGTATAAACAAAAATGATTTCTCAAGCTTTCTTTTGCTTCATGGAGCTGTAATTATTGCTAACAGAAACAAAATAGAAATCACATGATAAAAAAGAAACAACGCAATAGGAGAAAATGAGGCATACTACGTGGCCATGTCGCTAACCTGGCCATCACAACCTCCGAGACCAAGGGGCGAGGAGGTGGCGGCATCAGCTCCAATGAACCTATGACACCAAAATGATTATGTTTGCCGTCCTCGATCGTCGGCATCATCGACTCAGTGGTCGGTCCCCTTGTATCTTCTTCCCCATGGATCGGGATTGATTCGACATAGGATCAGAACAACAAACAGAATCAAAAGTCACAAAGAATTATAGCCTAGTAATGCTCAGTCAGCCAAATTAAGAAATATCGGTAACACATGCATATCTATTAATGATATTAGTGAACAATGCAAAAAGCAAAGGATTCCATTTGTCGCAATTAGTACACACGACAACTACTTCATAAGTTCATATGACCAATCAGTTAGACCACATGGTTAAATTCATTCATAGATGAACAATAGATGAACAACTAACAAAAGTCGAGAAGGATCCTTACAAAAACAATGATTGGTCAGGAATTTGGAAGGAGGGAGGGTCTATTATTAACGCTAGTGAAGGCGCATGTCATGCCAACTCTACAAAGTTAATTCCATTTACAAAAATCACATCGGAAAAGTATTGTGCATTCATGTTCTAGTCTTAATATCCCTTAGGTAATCTTGTTTTCAGCTGAACGACGATCATGTCAAGCTAAACGAAGAGGACGCCGACAGGGTCACATTGTTCCCTGCCCACCACCGCCCACTTCCACACGCCACCATCCATGTTCACCGCCTGGATGCCGGCCCCAGCTCTCAAGGCCCTAGAACCGGTGCGCCCACGGGTCGCCGCGTTGGGTATGTACCCGCCGCCACCGCGTTGGACCTTCTCGTCCTACAATGCAATAGCCATTGCCTTAGTTGTCTACATCAGACATCTGAAATGAAACAAAAGTCAAATGCTACTAATTAGACGTAATACATCAAAATGTCAAACAGAGTCAACACTTTAATTATGCTTCATAGGATAAGAATCAAACATACATAGTTAAACCAAATACTTAACAAAGTGTCAACAACATTTCACAGATTTTTTCAGAATTTTTGAAGCACTAACCTGGCTTGGCTCAATGCCAATGTGGTTCAGCATATCAATGCATAGATGTAGGAATCATCCTTGTACTCTGCACAAACAAGGGAAAAACATGAGCTTTCATGTTTCCGTGTATTATAGTTGAGCAGAAGCGATACATGGACAGTAGTATGAATGTACAACAGTGGGAAAGTTGAGGTTCCCTGGGCTGAATGTCGATGAAAGGTGCCTCCCATTTGCCCTTGTAGTCTAGGTTCCTAATTATCTGACTACACAAATATCCCATGTCAGAAGTTGCAATGCCAATGCACACTGCTGTTTGTCTACAATTTGACTATCTAATCTTACTCTAGCAGAAGTACCTTTTGCATCCATGGTCTCTTGCACCGGGGTACGTACCAAACTCCTAACTTCTTACAACTGATGATATTGTTAGGCGATGGAATTTGGAGTAACTTCTTGCTGACAACTGATGATATTGTTGGGCATTGAATTAATTGAACCACCCAAACTACTTTCAATCCTTTCTCGAAAGACAAATCAAGGAGACCACGAGATAGAAAAAGAGAGAAACTTACCATTAAGATAGAGGACAAGTCAGGCAGTCTTGCACATGGTGTTGGTAGGCAGCACCGCCGTGGTCGGGACAGTTCGCGCCCCAAATCCATATCCTCCATTTTTGCAAGATTCTGTACACCACATCTTTCTTACTAAAGTGGGAGAAACCATAAATCGACTATCAATCATCATTAAGTGTAGAATATGGTCATTAAAATTCATTAAAATCATTGCACATCGCTTGCTTGATTCTCCTCTATTAAATTAGCATTCATCACGGTGCCTTCTAAAGACAAGGCATGACAGAAACACAAAGGACAACCCAAGCACATTGGTTTATGTACCATACTCATTGTAAAAAATTAGAAGCTTCTGTAAGATGTGACACTGTTTACATGTTTGGAGTGAATTGCATCCTCGTACAAAGGATAGAAGAACTGAATGCTTATGTACTTATAAAATACAAAAGTGAAAAGGGTAATTAAATCATGTTGGGTTAAAAACCTTACGTTCCCATGGTTCTTTCTCAGATCAAAGAACTCAAAATATCAGCAGTGGATATTGGAGCCAGGAGAAGAAACGACGTGACCTTCACCCACATCCTTAATGGCCAGCCTCATCTCCATGCCCAGGACGATCTGAAGCCTCCCTCAATAATTCGACACCTGCACGATGACCGACCGTCAGATCACAACACTCGGCTTGGGCAACGAATTCGAGGGATTTCTAGACCAAGCGTTGAGTTGGTTTTTGTACACGACAAAGAGGAGTGGGGGAGGCGAGCCCCAACCCATCGAGACCACGATGCCTTGAGAGAAAGCTAGGGGAGGCGATGGTGAAGCACAACATCATGGCGCACGTGCCCTACGTCTCAACGCTACAGTCAAGCGTCGCCATGTAGCCGCACAACAGCTTGCACTCCATGAGTTACATACTATTTTCGCTCACACGACGAACGCCATCCGCCCGTCACTGAGACCCATCCTCTCAACCCTGCTGCTCCACGATCACGCGACGCCGTGTTAGTTAATGCAGAAACATAGGAGGCGGGCATCGTAAGGTAAAAAGTCCGGTTTGGACGGGATGAAAGACGAACCGAAATAAAGCAAAATTGGACAGGGAAGGGGGTGGATGAGGAGGCGAACATACAACGAGGTCGGGGTGGCTGTGGCCGAAGCATGAGGCTCGGCCTCCTCGCCGATGACCAGATCCGCCGTCAGAGATGATGAGGTCATCAGCCCCGTGACCTGGATCCCGCCAACAGGGTGATGCAGAGAGAGGTGCGGCGGCGTCCTACGGGTGAGGACGGCGGGGGAGGTGAGGGAGCAGCTGAGCGCGGTGGTGCGGCTGCGTCCCTCGGGAAGATGAACGGCGAGCGGCCCGAGGCGGGAGGCGGCGAGGGGGAGAGAAGAGTCGTGCGGTGCGGGGTGAAAGTCCTTTGATGTAATTTGACTACGTATGGAAAGATTAATCAGTGATTGACCGACTTATGGTAAGTTAATTAATTTAGATTTGATTTTTAAATATTGATTAGAGATTAACCGTGATTGATTCTCTCCCATAAAGACATTACTAAATAATTTGTGTCCACATGGAAAGTTCTGATCCGTTTGGCTTTCGGTACATGGGATGGTGGAAGGAAAGACGAAAATAAACCGGACGAAAATAAACCAGACGAATAATAACAGTGGACGCAATCCTAGCAACTGCTCCATTAAGAGTAGAGATAATGCCTCAGGATGAGGAGGTCACGATTAGGGTATGGCAAGAAGAACTTTTTTGGAAAGCTTTGATTCTGGTGATAATTACCATATTCGAAATTTCCTTAGTTATAGCCTTACCATACATGGATTGATTTATTACTATAATTATCATATTTGAGATTTCTAAGTTTATAGCCTTACCATACGTGGATTAATTGTGATTGATTACCATAAATACCATAAATATTTGAGATTAGGTGTATTGTCGGCCAGACGAGAAAGAGAAAAACCGGTAGGAGGGGGGTGGTGGGAGGTGGGACGAAGAAAAACCGGTTGAAAAAAAACCGGTTGAAAATAAACCGGTTGAAAGTGGGAGGGACTATTCAACCAATTCGTCCATTAGGAGTAGAGATTAAAACTCTGACCATAAATATAGGACTTGCCCACTCAATTCCATTCCATTTATACTACCACCGAATGCTGCTATGGAAAGTTGTGTATGCAGTCTCTAGTTGTCTAACCAAAAGATATTGTACACCACAGACATGCATATCTGCATACTAAAGGCAATATGAAACACATGCCTCATCAGAGCTGATATATTAATAGATCCATAGGACAGACCCAGAGCTAGAAACTCCCACACCAGGTGGGGTCTGGGGAAGGATTTTATGAGGTAGGCCTTACCCATACAGCGCAATGCAGAGAGGCTGCGTCGAAACCAGGACCTCTTGACACAAGTGGGGAGTACTTCACCACTGCGCCAGGCCTGCCCTTCATATTTTAATATGACCCATCGGCAGAGAATTTGGGCGAAGAAAACTCCTCCCGGGTCGCTTCCACCCGAGCGACTCCGGAGGCACAGCGGTGGCGGCGCCCTTCTCGTCAAATGACGGAGGGCAGGGAGTGCATCGCGGTGGTGGTGGGCCGGTGGCGGCGGTGCAAGGAGGCGCGGTCTTGGGGGCCGGGGCCTGGAGACAGAGTGGACAGATGGATGCGGGCGGCGCGCTGCTCCTGCAGTGATGCCCCCGGCGGTGCAGGTAGCGGATCTGATCTGGGCCTCAGGCCTGATCTGGGCCCGCTGGGCCTGCTCTGGATGGAGTGCTGCGCGCATGGAGGCGCTGCGGCCGTTTTCTACTCTGTTGCTCTGACTGTCGGCGTGGGGGCCTATTGGTTTTGCTCGCATAAGGAGGCGGTCCTTGTGCTCTTCTCGTATCACGGCAACGGCCTGCATGATCGGTCTTCCTCGATCTGGCCATCGGCCTGTTCCGGAACGGCCGCCGGAGATCTTGCTCAGGATATCTGGATCGGTTCGATTCCGGTCGTGCACGTCATATCAGCCTATGAGGTTCTAAGGGCGTGGCGCGAAGCTTTATTGGTTGATGACACCTTGGGACATGTCGGCTTCTCGATTTCCATGGTGGAGACAGCGGTGGAGAAGGTCATGGTGGTCGAGATCGGAGGATTAGTTGGACGGGCGGAGCCTTGGAGGCGATGGAGTCAGCCAGGTGTTAGATAAATCTCGGGAGCAGCAGTGATGAGTGGGGGCGGCAACACTGGAGGAATTTATTTTTGGTGGTGCTCCTCGGATGCCAAGCCGGGACTTTCAGGGTTAAAACCTAAGGTCTGGCCTTCATTGGTTGTGCCTAGCAATTGCCTTGCTGAAGGAATTGTCTTGAGAGCTCGGACTTCTCCAGGATGAAAACCTAAGATCTTGGATCGGGCAACAACGACGCTTGTGCACTGTTTCCTTTTTGGTGGCGTTGCTTTTGGAGACCTTCATGTTTTCCGGGTGTTGTATTTGGTGGTGGTTTGTGTGCGGCTGTTGAGAGGAGTCGATCATTGTGGCGGGACCTTTGTTTTTTTCCTTTGTTTTTAATTTTTTCCTTTGGCTGTGTGCATCCTCGATGTCTTTGCGACATCTTGTAGGTGCAGAGGATGGGTGTAATTGATATCTTCGCAATATTAATATATTCCTCTTTTCAAAAAATTTTTTTTTTAGTAAAATTATGTGCATTGCTCTGGCTCTTTTAGGTTTGAAGGGTTTATTCAGCTTCCAGTTTTAATGTCTCAATTGATTGTTGCTTTGTTAGGAAGAGGGAACAGGTGCATGGTTTCAACATAAGGGTGGGGATTTCAGAATACCCTTAAGTGGGTCCCTCGAGGATGGAGATCCGTTAGGTGCAAAACAAGGTATTGATGTCTACCCAGGTTATTTTAGAGCTTCAAGTACTCTGTCCTATTTGAGTGGGTTTAGGTTAGATATAAATATTTTTCTTCTACGAGGGCAGGCCTGGCGCAGTGGTGAAGTCCTCCCCACTTGTGCCAAGAGGTCCTGGGTTCGAACCAGCCTCTCTGCATTGCACTTTGCAGGGGTAAGACTAGGTTCCTATAATCCCTCCCCAGACCCCACCTTGTGTGGGAGCTTCTATGCACTGGGTCTGTCCTTATAAATATTTTTCTTCTACGGAAGTACTTAATAATACACAACTATTTGGCATTAGAACCCTGAGCAATGTAAAAGGAAATTTTAGATGCAACCACTGGTTATCCTTGCCCGCTACAATGAATTACAGGGTTGCGGATGAGTTTGCTTAGCCCCAGGAGCGGAACTCGCTCCTCCTGGGGGTAGCACAATGGAAGACGATGAGCAGTAGTGGCTGAAGAGAGGCAACGTCAGTGGCAAATACAGGACCTGTAGCCTGAACATTCGTGCTATACTACCATAGTGCCATGTTATCACTAGACTTGTTGTATTGCACTGCCCAAAGGGGCAAATTATATTACAAGGATTCAAGGACACTCCCAAACCCTAGACCAATAAGAAAAAGCCACAACACCCTTAGCAGAGTAAATACTGCTGCATCGCCAATTTGCTCCATTTTTACCTAAGTTCATGGCAAAAACAACATTTCTGGAAGTATATTTCAGCACACATGCGCAAAACGGACTCTCATGTCACGCCATCTGATTATTATCTGAGTGTAATAACATTAGCATACAAGCAATGAAATTTCACTTGCATAAACCAAGGAAATCCTGTTTTAAAGCAATCATAGTTGCAAGCAACTGCTATAAAAAAATGCTGACTTGTAAAATATGGTTCTCCTTGATAACTTTGCACCCTTTTTCGTGCTATTATTGTTCTTTGGATGACAACCTGTTTTGTCCTCAAGTCAATTACTGAACTGCAGTAGTCAGTAGCATTCTCAGAGAATTACATGGTATGTTCTGACCGAGAAATTACATGGTATTGGCTTTCACAAGCTGAAGAATCTGATTTTTTGGGGCCTTCAAGGAATGCTATCTAACATATTGGATTTTCTTGTGTCTTAGGAGTGAAACCTGAAGGATCTAATGCTCAGCTAAAAGAAGCAGTTCCTGGGGATAAAGGTCCAAGCACAAAATGCATTTCAGAGTTCTATGAGGAATATCCCATCTTAAAATCAGAGTATTTTGAGCATTTTGTATCTGTTGCTGTGACGGAGAATAGTGAAACAGATAAAAGTCTCGTGGAATTCTATACTGACATTACTGGAGATGTTATCATTCATTGGGGAGTTTGCAAAGGCAATACCATGACTTGGGAGATCCCACCAGAACCGCATCCACCAAACACGAAGATCTTCCGACAGAAAGCTCTTCAGACCTTGCTAGAGGTAAGGAGATAACTTTGAGCCCTTTGTAGAAAGAGAGATGAAATTGAATTGTGTTAAGATACTGACGAGCTTTGCTCTGTAATAAATGGCATGCAAAAGCAGTTTGCAAAAGTAGAATCACATCATGCCACTTGTACACTGTTATTTTCTGATTCACCATGTACAATGGAAACTGAAAATTGTACCACGCACACTTTTGAAATTGTATGGGCTAAAATTCACCATCCCACAGTATATTAAACTGGTAAAGTGTGATGGTGCTTACTATAGATTATCCATAGGATAAACTTAACAATCTTTAAATAAATGATATTTTGTAGTGTATGCAAAAATTAAAACTAAAGGTGAGTTTGGTATTAGTAACTTCTCCATAAGCTTGTGTTTACTTTTCCACATTTTCTGTAAATATTTACATCTTTGAAAGATATTTGCTCTGTAATATAATCTCCTTGTTAAGAGGGCTACTTCTTTCAATCGTGCCCCTTTTACTAGGAAAGTGTACAAAATAGGCTCAGGGTGTTTTAAATCTGATGAGGGAATAACGGAAACAGAAAATTCACTTAAATAGTAAAGTTGGCTCTGTCGTGCAATTAATTGTTGCTGTTTCCTTTATACTCCTAACTAGCTAATACCCATGCCTTGCTGTAGGAATTTATAGCAATAAGTTTGTAAAGAATAAAATTAAGAATAAAACTAGAATATATGGGAATTTATAGCAGTAAGCGGACGTTGGCTGCACGTTATAGTGCATGTGCTGGAAAATGGAATATGAAGGGATTGCATGTACTTGATGATGTGGAGGGTTAGGTGGCATGTGTGGTGAGGTGGGATGTCCGTGTTGAGAGAAATAGATGTGGTGGGGATCAACTATTTGGGTATAGAATATAGTATTGTGTTATCAACAGGCCGCCTTACTTTTTTCTTGTTTAAATAAAATTTACTTGTCAGGGCCTCCCCTCAAGTTTGCCGCTAAAAAAAGTTCTGCAGAACCATAGAGCCGTGGCTCCACCTTCTGCACCATATGATGATTCCTTGAGATAATAGCTGCCAAACTAGTTAGGAGATTAGGGAGTAATCTTAGAACAAGATTCTCTTGACCAAGGTTGGCATGAATTATTGAATTCATGCTCCAGCCAATTCATCCAAAAGTCCGAACTGATGGAAAGAGGCGGGCAATATATTTCGACACTCTGCCTCACGTCTAGGCTTATTTAGTCCTTAGACGAGGGATCGATGTAGGCCGCAGAATTATTATTTTTTAATACCGTGTTGTCAGGGTCCTGAACTCAAGACGTCCTGGCTCCCATACCATATTAAGATTGCGGGTAGGGTCTTACCCTCGTTGGAGGGGACGCGTACGTGTTAAATATCCAGGGGCTTATCCCTGATAAGCATACAGGTTGTTGGGATTACATCGTGAAGAACAAGGAAGATCAGAGAGATAAGCTACGGTTTACAATGGATAAGTATGCATTAATGCATAGCTAACAACCGGAAGTACCTAATAGATACTGCGTGTAATCCTCCTGGACGATAGGTGTGTTAACACGGATCAGCAGTGGCCGGCGACATGCATGAGCTCAACCTAGTGCTCACATCGGCAAGCTAGCGGGGCAGATAAGCGACGAGGACAGCTCCTCCTGTTCCATCTCACCACCGACGGTGATAAGACACCATGAAAGTTTTTCTGATTTTCATGCGAGTTTTGCAAAATTTGAACAAAAACTTAGGGTTCCGCTGTAACTCCACTAAAGGTCTGGTTACTTGACTTTTTCTTCAAACAAATTGGATAATTTGGAATTTCATTGAACCTTCTGTAGAAAAACAGTGAAGTATAAAAACTAGTCTGATATTTGGCAAATCTCTGAAGACCTTGGGGATTGTGCGTTTCAGCAATTCAAAACATATATACCACTTTACAGTTTGTATAATAACTGTACTTGACTTTGGGAACCTACATAATTAAACTCAGTGCACATCCAATGTGGACTCATGTGCGTCTAATGACAAAGGAAAGGAGAATGATGCCATGGAGCTAAAAATGTGCTTCCTTTCTGGGTGATTCCTGCTTTGGTTGGTCAAGCGAGGACAAGCTCCCTAGTCTGTTTAGGAGTGGTTCTCTCTTATATCTTCAAACAGAATGTACACACAAGCAAGTTTTACTCTTTTGAGTTGACAATAGGTGTTTCTGGGGTGCTGCAATTTTTCTTTCTTTCTTGTTTCCTTCCATTCATAGAGCATTTACATGTATTATTCTTGAGATCCAGAAACTTAAGCTGCCTGAAAATTAGTTAGCTATTCCTATTCACACATCTTACCTGGTGCTGCAGCAAAAAACTGATGGTACAGGCAACGCTGTATCATTCCTACTGGATACAGACTACTCAGGTCTTGTTTTCGTGCTCAAACTTAATGAGCATACTTGGTTGAGAAATCTGGAGAATGGATTTGATTTCTATATTCCTCTTACGAGGGTGGAGCAATTTGGCAGCACTCAAGAGCCTCATAAGGCTGGTGAACATAAACTTGATGATAAGTCTGCGCAAACTGATGGCCTAATCAGCGATATAAGAAATCTGGTGGTTGGCCTGTCGTCTAGAAGAGGTCAACGAGCAAAGAACAAAGTTCTGCAAGAAGATATTCTACAAGAAATTGAGAGGTTAGCAGCTGAAGCATATAGCATTTTTAGGAGCCCCACTATTGATGCCATAGAAGACCCTGTTTACATCGATGACCCAGAAAGTGTGAAGCCAGCTTGTTCTGGCACTGGATCTGGATTCGAAATAGTGTGCCAAGGATTTAATTGGGAGTCACATAAGTCAGGAAAATGGTATGTTGAACTTGGTACAAAGGCCAAGGAGTTGTCATCCCTGGGTTTCACCATTGTTTGGTCACCACCACCTACTGATTCTGTATCACCTGAAGGATACATGCCAAGGGATTTATACAACCTAAATTCCAGGTATATTTACTTGTGGAAAGCCATTATATTCCTTAAAATGGTTCTTCGAGAATTGGATACATTTGGTAATGTTACCTTACTTTATTTTGTTAGTTTCTATTTTCTGCCATAATATCTCCTTTGCTAGTCCCTTGAACTGGATGTCAGTGTATAATGTGCAAACTAGTTCCATGTGTTGAAATATATTGCCCGCTTCTCTCCATCTGTTCGGACTTTTGGAGCAACTGTCTGGTCTGTTTGGTGCATGAATTCAGTATGGTATCAGAGCCAACAGGTCATGAGTTCAAGACCCTGCCAACGCAATATTAAAAATAGATTATGCAGCCTACATCGATCCCACGTGCAAGGACTAAATAAGCCTAGACGTGAGGTGGAGTGTTGAAATATATTGCCCGCCTCTCTCCATCAGTTTGGACTTTTGGAGCAACTGGCTGATGCATGATCAATACCATGTTTAATATTTTGAGCTTGAACAAAATAAATAAACTTGATTAACAAAGCCCACATACATGCCAAACTTCTAAATGTAATTTTTTGCAAGTTGCAAATTGTTGATGCTAGCTGTTGTCTTTAAGATATACCATCTTCAAGCTGTATATTCTTTATCCTGTAATGCTGTTCCTAACTTTACCAGTAAGTACAACCCTTATGGATGTTGACCCTTTTTATCTGCACTAAATATTTGGGACCTTATTTCTTTCCATGGTTAGTGCAAGCACTGCCATGATACTATTTCCTGCATGAATTATTCATTATATTATTTGGTCATGAAGTAGAAGTTCGGCAAACCAATGTCTCATCGTATACCCGTCTGCATTGTTTGTGATTTTGCTTGTGTAAAGTTTTGCCTGCTAGTGTAATGCATGCCAATGTGCAAACTGTGGAAAACTATTTGGTGGTTGTTGAGTAAATGATGAACTGACCAGAAGTTTTCCTCCTAATGAATGAACAAGGCAGGTGATGTGTTATGGCGCTGCTAGAAGGAGGGCGCAAGAAGGCCGGCCGGGGGCCTTTTGCCCACGGCCGGGCAAGATGGAAGGATTTCCTTCTTAATTCTTGCTTGATTAGATTGATACATCTCCTCTCTTTATATAGAGAGGTTTACTTGACTCCCAAGCAAGGCTTACTTGACCCCTAAGAAAGCGACTCTTATCTCTAATTAACCCTAAGACTAACGGGCCCATTAGGCCCATTACGTACTCTAACACTACACCCCACCTGGACATGCAGCTTGTCCTCAAGCTGCAGCCTAACCAACTTATAACCATGACTCGACGCAACCCAAACCTAACACCTAAAAACAAGCCTTTTACATCTCGGCTTGTTTTATTATTCTCAACCTGAAATGGACTGGGACGATTTATTTTGGACCTCTTAACAAAAAGTGGATACCATCCGCACGTCGGACGTGCACGTGTACAGCCACCTGGATCCCATGGACACCATCTGGACAAAAGGAGTGCATGTGTATGGCCACCTGGAAGTGGTCGCAAGAGTGACCAGCAGAGGCGCCCTTGCGGCGCCCGGTGACGGAATGCAGTGGTGCTACGTGGAGCGTTGTTGTCGGTGACACCATGCCTTCTTCCTGCCGGACGGCTGTTGGTCTGCACCGCACAGGGAAGAGTGGGGGGCTTGCGATGGAGAATGACGAGGAGGGGTGCGCCCCCCAACCGCCAATGTCGCAGACTTGGAGGTCGCTGCCCGTGGGGAAAACAGCATGCCCGCTGCCCGTGGGGGAAACCGCATGCCCAAGATCCCCGGCGCAGCGGATGAGATCGAGGTCCTTTGCGCAGCGAAGGGCAACTTGGAGGAGCGGCAGCTGCAGACCACGCATCTCCCGCACACGCCGACGCGCTAGGAGGCCGCGCGCAGTAGCCTGCAGCCTCACCGCCGCCGACACGTGGCGGGTAGCGATCCAAGACGGAAGCGGTGACTGCGACGACGGGGACTGGACTTGGTGGAGCGGGACTCCCGCCGGCGCGGTCGATGCGGGGCCGGAGCTAACCGGCGGTGGCGCACCGGGCAGCGGCAGCGGCTGCTGCGGCGGAGCGCCGGGCGCGGAGGAGGCCGGCAGGAGCGGCGGCTGCCAGTGCAGCCAGGGCTGGGCGGTGGTGGCGATGGATGGCAGCTGCAGTGGCCCGGCGAGCGCGGCGAAGGCCGCCTGGTGCGGCGGCTGCCACGACAGCCAGGACGGGGCGATGGATGGCAGCTGCAGCGGCTGCTGCGGCAGCCCGGCGAGCGCGGCGGGGGCCGCTTGGTGCGGCGGCTGCCACAGCAGCCACGGCGGCGCGGTGGCGGTGATGGGCGGCGCAGCCGGGTGCGGCCCATAGGACCCGGCCAAGAACAGGTGGATCTCCTGGACCGCCTGTGTTAGGTCCCGCAGCGCCCCGGACACCTCCGGGGTGAGGACGACGGGGGCGGGCGCGACGGAGGATCCTGGCGCGGGCAGGAGCGGGGCGACGGTCGTGACCGGCAGCGGAAGAGACGGGTTGGGCGGCGGTGAAGACATGATCGAACCGAAGCTAGCTGATACCAAATTGTTACGGCGCTGCTAGAAGGAGGGCGCAAGAAGGCCGGCCGGGGGCCTTTTGCCCACGGCCGGGCAAGATGGAAGGATTTCCTTCTTAATTCTTGCTTGATTAGATTGATACATCTCCTCTCTTTATATAGAGAGGTTTACTTGACTCCCAAGCAAGGCTTACTTGACCCCTAAGAAAGTGACTCTTATCTCTAATTAACCCTAAGACTAACGGGCCCATTAGGCCCATTACGTACTCTAACATGATGCATGTTCTGTATTAGGTGACTGATGAGGCTATGTAGTAGATGTTGTGACTCTCTGGTGTATATTTGTTGTTCTGGATATCTTGCTACTATCGGTGTAGACTGTAGAAACATGATCTTGCAAGCACTTGGGTAATAAATGAGAAAAGCATTGCTAATCTTGTTGCAAAATTGTACTGAGCTTGTTTTCCTTCCAAATTTCTCCCAACCTCATCAGCCGAGCTGTGCTAAGCATTACCATGATATCATCAATGTTTCAGATATGGAACCATGGCAGAGTTGAAGCAGCTTGTGGATATTTTCCATGAAAATGGTGTGAAGGTTCTTGGTGATGCTGTTCTAAATCACAGATGTGCTCAGTTTCAGAATCAAAACGGGATCTGGAATATTTTTGGTGGGCGTATGAACTGGGATGACCGAGCAGTCGTTGCTGATGATCCACATTTCCAGGTGAGGCTTTTCCATGCTAACTAAACCTTATTAGTCGACTTCGAGTACATTGTTCTTCAAAGTTCATTTTGATTCACTAATATCATCACCGATTGTGGTTATTTGGTTCTTCCACTGTGCTGTTATAATTTCTGTTGAAGACACAAACATAAAATGGGTAGCATCAGTCCTCCGCATGGATATAGTAATGAAATTCACAAATATTTACCCTCAAGTGTGGGCTTACTGAAGTTACGAGAAAATAAACTTTAGTCAACCAACAAAATGATGCTTAAAGGTAGTCTGGCTGAGTGACCTGCAAATTCTGACTAACTCTTTGCCTTTTTGCCTTTTATTGTTTTACCTTTTTAGTATTGAAAGTAAAATGCACTAATTTGCATTCATACGTAAGTTGTGTAAATAACTTAATGGAACTTGACCTGTGTTCTGAAATAGAAGGAAACAAATATCCACCTCCAGAAGTAAAATTAGAAATTACAAAGTTGTTCTACATTCCGTTCAAAAAGATTGTTCTACATGTTTTTACCATTTTATTTTGCTTGTGCAGCATATGATATCTGTTAACCCTTTGTACGTTCATGGTGAAATTCTTGTGCTTGTAGGGAAGAGGAAACAAGAGCAGTGGAGATAACTTCCATGCTGCACCAAACATTGATCACTCACAAGATTTTGTGAGAACTGATATTAAAGAATGGCTTCGCTGGATGAGGTCTGCCACCCTTTCATTTCTTGGCGAAAGCTCCTACGTTTTCTCATTCTTAACTATCTGTTAATGCATGAGCTGTTCAAATGTGCAGCGTCCATTAATAGACTACATGCAAATGCATCATTTATGTATCTAATTTGCAGCTGTGTGTTATATGACTTGTATTCTCAACTCTGACGATCAAATCTCTCAGTGAATTGGTCTGGATAATGTGTGAATCCACCAGAGAGTTGGGGATCAGGGATATGATCTGAGAAGAAGATAAGAGAGGCAGATAAATGGATATGGAATTCAGAGTTCCATTCATTCGATGCTCTTCCTGTCATACAGTGTTCCTATAAAAAAACACGTCATACCTGATTTCTTTTTTCTCAGATCGGTCTTTTGGGATAGTTGGTTGATAGGAATATCTAACATAATATCAGACCTGATTTCTTTTTTCTCAGTCCCTGTATTTTCCCCAATCAGTTATCTCCTCTTCCTATCAGATCAGTCTTTTGGGATAGTTGGTTGATAGGAATGTCTAACAAACTTAACATGGCCTACTTCCTTGAGAAAAGAAAGAGGAGAAAACTCAAGATGGCCTGACACATAGCCCACACAACACATTCAAGAATAACTCCTCCCTCCAATTTTAATATATAAATAGTTTGTTGAATGAGTGGCACATTATTAGGGAATACTATCTGTTCCTTCCTTTGGAGATAGAACATTTGATGTTCCCACTACTCCAATATGTGAGAAGCTGGCAAATCTTAATGTGTCGGTATATTTTCCATTAACTTTAGGATATAAATTGAATTATAGACCATTGGACCTGAATTTTGCGGAAGTGCCAGCATCACATGTTTTCATAGTTATTCTCCTCGAATTGCAGAAAGGAAGTTGGATATGATGGGTGGAGACTTGATTTTGCTCGTGGCTTTTGGGGTGGATATGTCAAAGATTACATGGAAGCAACTGAACCATACTTTGCAGTAGGAGAGTACTGGGACTCTCTCAGTTATACTTATGGTGAGATGGATTATAACCAGGATGCTCACAGGCAGAGAATTGTTGACTGGATAAATGCTACAAACGGAACTGCTGGTGCATTTGATGTCACTACTAAGGGAATACTTCATATGGTAAGATTTCAGCGAAATTCGTTCAAGTAACTTTGGTTGCCATATGCGTCATGAAGCATTGCCTGCCTGCTTGGTTGAATCATGTCTTATATATTTTTACTATTTTTTTACAGAAAGATCATGTAATGTTATTGATGATTGAGTATTTTTCTCTACAATCAGTTCTTGCTATTATTTTTAATGCGAGATGCAGGTGCAAAACCATCATGATGTCAGTTAATTAAACTTGCTTTTACATAGTTTTCCCATGCCAGCAAGTGTTGATAAATCTGTTCTGAAGTGGTTTCCTGATGCTATTTAACTCATGAATGATTTTAGTGCTTAGTTTCACCCATTGTTTGTTTTTGTACTGGTGGACCTTGTGTACTCTTCTCCTAGGTTTTTCTTCTTTTGTTTCTATGATTGTAATATGGAACTTCCTTGCGTTGCACAGGCACTGGAAAGATCTGAGTATTGGCGCTTATCTGATGAAAAAGGAAAACCCCCTGGAGTATTAGGTTGGTGGCCTTCACGTGCAGTCACATTTATAGAAAATCATGACACCGGCTCTACTCAGGTACAGTACATTATCTCTATATATGCACGGATGTGTGATGGGCATGGACCCCGAAATTTTAGCATGTGACACAATGTTAGCCATATCTCCCTAATATTAGTATTGTACAGAACCTTGGACAAGTGGACATATCCTGGCTTAATTGTACTTGTGTAGGAAATAGTCAAAAGGTTTTGCCATTCTATGCTGGGTATCCTGCCATCTGATGTATCTTAGTAGCTGCCTTTTTCTTATTTGCTTAATGTTGCTCAATTTCCCTTTTATTTATTTTTCGAAACACGGTTTCTAAAAATAACCTGTCTTACTCCATTGCTGTTGAAATTTGAAATCCTGAGAATTCTTGTATAAACGAATTATATT